TGGTCTTTCTGGCTTGGGCTTCCCTCTGTATATCTGAAGCTTGTAGTTTGTGAACTCCTTACAGTTCTGGAGGGCGGGGGATCCACAGTAGAGGGGTCATCACTGCCGCTGTCTTTGGCTGGCAGGACCCTGCAGCTCTGAGGTGACAGGATCGTATGTTGAAGGGACCTGTGATCCTTTGTCCTATAAGAGACAAAGCCTCTCTAGATGACCTGGTAGCTTCATGACCTACAATGGGTTGGTGGCATACAATGCTATTGTATGAGCTGTGGTTATCTGGACTGCCACACAAGTATGGATGGGGAAGGGAGGTGGCCTGGGTCTAAATGCCAGCCTCGCTGCTTAATACTTCCGTAAGCCTAGCTAGGAAGCCAGTGTTACCAAGTGCCTCGGTGTCCTCCCCACACAAGATGGCGACAGTCAGACCTACTGCACAGAGGTATTGAGAGATGATAGGTTGAAGCCCCTGGACATAGGCGGCCTCCAGTGAATGTTCAGTTTAGTACCCATTGCCTCAACTTCCCTGAAGAACAAGGCGATTGTGGGCTCCCTGTTCTAGCCAAGGATCCTTGGGGACTGTTTACTCTACCCCCTGCATCTTGTTCTGTTTAAATTGCTCTTAGTTACATGTGATGATGAATTAAGCAATACAAATTTGTTTATGACGTTAAGAGCGCCTCTCCCCACCTGCCCCCAGTCCCCAACTTGCCCTGCCTAAATCATGGCCATTTCCACTTCTTCTCTTCGCTCCATGATGCTTAATAGAAGACAAGCTGTCCAACAACTTCATGTGGTATTTGGGGACTGTCTGGTTAGAAGGATGTGGTTCCAGCTCATTGCTGCCATCCCTCACTTCCTCCCCCATCCTTCCTTGTAATCGTAGTGAATGTACCAACCTCCAGCAGCTGCTTGTAGCACTGTGATTTGGATTATGACTATTCCAAGAAGACCCTAAGACTCGGGAAGGTGAAACTCGCAAGCGTCACTGCTCTTGCTGCTTACAACTGCCCTCTTGTGTTATCACAGCAATGTGGGTTGTTTTTTATTTATATTTTGTTCTGCATCAGTGACTTGCCGCTAAGTGTGGCCTAAAACAAAAGCAAAATACTACTTACTCTATACCTACACAAACATCTTTCCTGACTGAGCCTAGGATCCGTAGCCTTCTCACGAGCAGGACACCAGGGACTACTGACTTTAAAATTATTAGTTGCTTCAGAGGTTGGTTTTTTTTTTCTCCTAAGGTTAGTTTTCAGAGTACTATATAGTTGATGTAGAAAATGTAGTCATTATACATACAGGTTTTTTAAAAAAGGAAGGAAAGTGGGGGTGCAAAATGTAAAAATACCTGAAAATGCCACTATATGAAGCATTTGCTAAAAATATTACATAGTTCAGATCAAAGAGAACTTATTTCCATAAATGAATAATTAAGAACTTATTTCCATCATTAATAAAGAGAAACTTCTAGGCCTACATAAGAAGACCCAAACTCAGGGAGATTCTATTATGTGTCAAATCTCTCACATGCCTTTTTAAAAAGTTCTTCAAGGCAGGGTCTCCTGTAGTCCAGATTGGCCTCAAACTAGCCATGTAGCCAAGGATGATCTCCAACTCATAATCCTCCTGCCACCACCTCCCAAGCACTAGGATACTAGACACTCTATTGCCTTAGCCGTATCACCAGGCCCTGACCCTGCAGCTGTTATTCTGTGTCATGAGTGATCACTTACAATATACCCAGCACCATGCTCATCTTTGGTGGCATAGTGAAAAATACCCTAAAATATTTAAAGGAGGGTTGTCTCCACTTTATGGAAGTTGGGTTCCAGTGAGAGGTAGATTTTCATCAGTCATATGGAATATAAAATACAGTTCAAATCTGGAAGGGGAAAGTGATTCTCAAAAGGCATTTAACAATGGCAGGTGCATGGTAGGGGTGTGGGGTTGAGAGCTTGCAGAAGTGTCCTTCGGGTGGATGGTGTTGAGAGCTGAAGGAGGGACATTCACCAAGCAGAGGAGTCAGGGGAGAGAGGTGGGTTCAGGAGCAAACCGGAGAAGAGAGCCGACCTTCTGTGTTGGACAGGTGGTTACAGACCTGGGACCACTGCAGGGCAGGCTTCACTGGCCAAGAGAGGACCCAGTCCAGTGGGGAGTGGCCTGGCGGGCTCCTTGTAGATGCTTTGAGATCCTGATCAGAGGAGCGGGAAGCCAGCCATCAGCCCGGGCTCCACAATGGAAGCTTGTTCTGTCCTTCACACAGGCCTTTGTCTGCACCCAATGCCTGTTTCTGTCTGTGGCAATGACCTCAGCTAATGAACAGCGAACAAGTACCTCCCACACAAGGTGTGCAGCCACCTCATTATGCAAATGGCGACTTAGTTCCTCCTCTGGGATGTTCTACCTCTCTACTCCCCACTGGCCTTCACACCTTCCTAGCCAGACCTCACGACACAGTAGATGACATCCAAGAAGGACACCTCCATCCAAGCTTCCCTTGTCCCCTAGTTTGCAAATCTGGGGAGGAGCTGGCTTCACAGTGGGAAAGGAAAGTGCCCTCATCTCCCCCAGAGTCAAAGTTCACCGTGTAAGATGGACTGAGCTACCTCGTTGTTTGCACAGCCTTCTTTCTTGTCCTCCCTCTGAGCTCTCCCTGGCTCCCGAGACTAGTTTATCCCCACGAATGGAGTAGAACTTGACGGTGCAGGCAGTGGACAGCCAGTCTTCCGCCAATAAGGCATGCCTAAGGGCAAGGAGAGTTTTTGTAAGAAAGCCAAGACTGTGTGACGTGTACTTGCAATAACTGAAATAGCTCCTCTCTACACATAGAATGACATCAGTACTTAAACTATGCCATTAAGGCCCCACGTGCTGTCATCCCCCACCCCCCCACACACACACCTTTAGGACCTCATGCAGTGTGTACTGTGAATCTTGGTGGCTCTACTCCAGTGTGTTCGCTGCCCATGGCCTTTGCACTGGAATACTCTTCCCTAATCTATGTGACTGGTTTGCCCCACGCCCAGCCTCTGCTCAGCTTCTACTCCCTCCTAAGGATTTTTCCAAGTGACCCAAATGAGCTCTTGCCCGCTCTGTTCCTCTCGTGAGCGATCACGATCGGAAATTTTCTTTGTGTTCCTAAGTCTCTACAGGAATTTAAATGGCATGAGAGCAGAGGTCTAGTCTAACTTGTCCCACGTCATATCTGCATAGCCTAGAACTGTGCCTGGTGTTTAATAAATGTCTGTTGGGTGAATGGATGGATGGACGGCAGTCTTCCCATGCTTAGATGGCTATCATGTGGACAGATGACTTTGTTTATTTATGTGGGGTAACAAACATTTACCCCACCGAAGTGATTATTGATAAGTTATCATATGAAAGGCATTTAATCATAAATTATTGCTGGGACTAAGATAAAAACAGAGGTACTTCATCACGGCCCTGAAATAGTATTACAGTAGGCAGTGAGGGAAGAGTCAGGAGACATGGGCCAACAGAATGGAAGTTCACCGCACTTGAGAGGTGAAGAAGTGAAGGAAGATTCATGTCCCAGTCTATGAGCAAGCCAGGTGGAGGATGAAGGGAGACAGTCAGCCTTAGAGGTCCGGACAGGAATAGCCCAGTGAGGACTCCAGCAAGGGGCCGAGCAGCTGAGTCTGGATGGAAGCGAAGGCTTGATAATTTGTAGGTACTGAGTATTATCAAGTGATGGGAGCAGGCAAGATAAGTGAAGAGAGAGAAAATGAACATTGAAGGATAGTCAAAAGCACCACGTACAGGGACACTGAAAGGGGGGATGGAAGGGATGTGAACTGACCTACAGTTTTCAGCAATGTATCTCAGGGTTCCCATCTCACTGCTGCTCTTCAGATGCCCAGGATGGGAGAGCTCCATCCATACCTGGGGTGGAGGAAGCCCGAGAGCACCCATAATCCTGAGTTTTCTCTGTCTATCTCTTACGAGTTAAAGTTCAAATGCATCTGGGGGTCTCATCTCACGCAGTGCCCACAATTGAAAGAAGAGGGAGACACAGTAGAGGGGCCTCTCTCTAGCTGCTCTCCCTGCGTCGTGCTGAAGTCAGCCACCAGAGGCTGCTCATTAAGCCTGTTAGCCATGTCTTCCCTTTAGTCCCAACCAACTTTGTTCTCCCAACACTGTGGTATAGATTTCCTTTTATTTGTAAATGTGCTTTTATGCCTTACTTGTTCCCATCAAAAGCTGTCTGACCTAGGTTCTAGCTTCTCTTCTGTCATTGGTTAGTGGCTCAGGTGACAAAAACTAATCCAGACACAGACCTTTGCCCAGTCATTCTGGATTAACAGAGGGCAGGGTTGATCCAAGTGTCTCATGTGTGCACGCACACACATGCATGCCAGTGGCCAACCTCAGGTATCATTCCTCAAGAGCATTCCACCTTATTTTGGGGGTAAGGTAGCTCACTCAGGGGGCCCAGGGATCTGCCTATTTCTACCTCACCATTGCTGAGATTATAGGCACAAATGACCATACTTGGCATTTTACCTATGTGGGGGGGATCAAGCTTAGGTCAAGCACTTTCCCGACTGAGACATCTTCCCCACCCCACCCCTACTGTGTCCTAGCGATCCTCTTTAATCCTATAGAACTCATCGCCAACCAACCAGAGTCTGGTAGCTCTCAGCCTTGTTTGGTCCCTCTACCATTCATTCACCTTAACACTTCAGCAAAGTCCTTGTCAGATGATGGTAAAGATGTGTAGAGGTCTCAGGAGCTGGGACTGGGCTGTAGGTTCTGAATTCTCTGTCCTCACAACAACCCAGTGAACCACATTCTGATCTCATCCTCATTTTGAAAATCGACTCCGAGAAGCCAGTTAGTTACCAGGATCACACTGCCAATAAAGAGAATACCCAGAACGTAAGCCCTAGAGCCAGCAGAGCTGCGGCCAAGATTTTTGGAAGGAAATCCTTCTAATTCCAGGTGAAAATTCTTCTCCCTCTCCCCCTCTGTCTCTGCAGTCTCAGGAGGAAGTCTGTGATCTGCTTCATGCTGCACCCTTCCAAAACATCCTGCCCCGAGTCTACATCAAAGGTAAGAAACCACCAGCAGCGCTGACAGCCCTCTTACATGTGAATTCATACTCACCTTAAAAAAAAAAATAAATACTTGTGTAAGTATGGACACACGTGTGTGATAGGCTGCACCTCGGAGTCAGGACCACCTCAGGTATCGTCATCACCTCCCAGTCTGTTAGTCTGTTTGAAACAGGGTCTCCTGGTTGTTTGTCGCTGTGTGTGCCAGGCTAGTTGGCCTGCAGACATCTAGGAAGTCTCCTGCATCTACCTCCCGTCTTCGCCGTGGGGGTGCTGGGATTACAGGCGCATGCACTTTGTCCAGCTTTTATATGGTTCTGGAGATTTGAACTCAGGTCCTCACACTTCCCCAGTCCATCCCAGTGAACTCAGACTGCAGTCATCCGGGAAGGAGTTTCATGGAATCATGAGGGATTAGAAATAGTACTCCAAGCCTTGCTCCTTCAAAGCTAGCCTTACTGTGCAACTCAATCTGGCCTTGATTCAAACTCCTTAATTGAGAGGGAACTCCCCATTTTACTAGACATATACTTCTGTTATTGATCCAATGATCCAAGGTCACAGGGGGATAATCCCTCAAAATAAATTCTCATCGCAGTCTCCAGAACCAAGGAGGAAGTTCTGCACACTCCATCCTAGTTTGGGCACACGGTGACCACATCAGGTCCTCTGAGAAGTCTTCTTCCTCTGGTCACACACTTTCTGTTCCTTTGCCCCTTCTGCAGAGGGGGAGCGCCTGGAAGTCCGGATGAAGCGCCTGGAAGCCAAGTACGCCCCACTTCACCTGGTCCCCCTGATAGAACGGCTGGGAACTCCTCAGGTACAACCCATGTCATGGGCCCAAAGGGTCCCAGGAATGGAGTATTTGGGGCCCCAACTCCTCACTTTACAGATAGGGAAACTATCACCTCCCTGGCAGGTACCAAAAATTCTGCAACACCGTCGTCTATCAAATTTAGAATTTCACATACTCTGAGTCCACAGTTCACATCTAGATATTTTTCTCAAACTCAAGATCAGGAGAAACTGTGGTCCTGTGGTTTGTCTGAGGTGTTAGCTCAGTAGAATGTGGCATTTTATGTAAGCACTCTGTACTTGTAGATTCAGCATTGTTAAATACATAATAATAGAAAGGAAAAATTAAATTTAAGTGCATCAATCAATGTGGCTAGATCTTGAATTCAAGTTACATTTCACATAGGGTTTTCAAAAACATTCACATACCAAAAGCATATAAGTAAAATGTCCCCTGAAAACTTCCAGAATGTTCCAAAGCCAATTTTTGGAGTTAGGGTTTCTGTTGTTGTGACAAAACACCATGACCAAAAGCAAGTTGGGGAGGAAAGGTTGATTTGGCTTACATTTCCATATCCCTGTTTATCATTAAAGGAAGTCAGGGCAGGACCCTGCAGGCAGGAGCTGATGCAGAGGCCATGGAGGGGTGCTGTTTATTGGCTGGCTCCCATGGCTTGCTCAGCCTGCTTTCTTATAGAACCCAGGACCACCAGTCCAGGGATGGATGGCACCACCCACCATGGGCTGGGCCCTCCCCTATCAACTACTAATTAAGACCACGCCCTTACGCAGGCATTTTCTCAATGGAGGTTCCCACCTCACTGATGACTTCAGCTTATGTCAAGTTGATATAAAACTATCCAGCACACCAGTTCACCATGGTGAATTCTAAAGAAAGGTGGAGGTAGACTGGTGGGGAGGACGAGGAATCAAAGGCAATTTGAGTTTTATTTATAATGTTCTAATATCTTCAAAGTTGCCTGGGCTCATGTTGAATCTGTAAAAATGAACTTTTGAAAAATGGTACCAGTTACTGTGGACACTGAATTGGGTAGGGAGGACTCTTGCCTTCAGAGCACTTAGATTCTGTAGGGAGGCAGGACAGAAGAGAAATAGAGGGAGAGGCACCCAAATGTCTATTTCTGTTTCCAGTTGATTTAAGTGAGCCTCCCATTTGGAGGTAAGCAGGGACGAGGTGGCACCAGACACCGTACAGGTGACCCAGCTGCTTTGTGTTGCCGGCCACATTGACTATTAGAGCAGTTCAGGATTTAAAGCCACCCTTGGACTCATGTTCCCTTCTGGGGTCATCCCTATAGTCAGAAGAACCCACACTCTCGGCAGAGGGCAAGAGGTAGCCACTCTCCACAATGCCAAGCCCCACCTGCACAGGTGTCAACTGAGAAGCTCCCCACATCAGGCTCCCACTGCAAACGGTGACTAACCACAGGAGGCATTTGGGTCTTGGGCTCACAGCGGAGAATTCGGACACTGGAGGGAGTCTTTCCACTTTTTTGGCAGCAGAAGTCGAACAGAGGAAATCTTCAAAGAGGATTTCCTTTTAGGGAGAAATCTCCCAAGCCGGTGGCGTGCCGGCTGCTCCCAGGGTGTCATCCTGCAAGAATCCATCTTCTGGAGCCTGGGGGACTTGGCATGGGTTTCCACTCATGGCTGTGCATTCCTCCCCCATTCTGGTGCACGCCATTTCCTTGGGACTGATAGAAATCTCCGTTTATCCAGTGTTGAGTCTCTGACAAACAGGAGCCCAGTGAGTGAGATCATGCCAGTTCGGCAAGTTGCCCACTTCTCAAAGCATACCCCAACACTACAGTCAGATCAGCCTGAAAGTAGACTCAGGGGTCACTGGGACTGGGAAAGGAGGATGGAGGAAAGATTGTAGGGTAGGATCAAGGTCCATGTGTGTAGATAAAATGTGAAAAAGAAAACTAAAAAGTAGAACTTGGGGGCAGTGAGATGGCTCAATGGTTAAAGGCACTTGCTACCTTGATCCCAGCCATATGAGGGAAGAAAGGAAGGACTCTTGCAAGTTGTCTTCTGAGCTCTATACATGTGCCAAACCACATGTACACACACACTAAATGCATACATACAACACACATAATAAATACAACTTCATCAGCCCATGGGCCAAAGAAATGCTAACAAGTTGTAAACACTGAAGCTGGCCACTAGTTCTTCTCCGCCGGATCTTGTGTGATGTCTGGGTCAGTGACAGGCAACAGTCATGGCAGAGTTAAAGCAGGGAAGTTTGAACACTGTGGTGTTTGCATTTGTTTCTGAACAAACTGAGGTGACCTGGTTTTCAGCCAGCACCATTGTCATAGCTCTACCCTGAAGTATCATATAGTCTCACATGAAACATTTTATTTCTCTGCCTTTGTTTTCCCATCTATGAAATGGCATGGTAGCTGTTTCACCTCCTTAGCTGGCCTGCATTTTTAAAATTAGTATCTCTTAGAATGTGTTATACCCTTGACAGCTGGGAAGATCATTCCCAGGTTGACAAAAGGTTGAGCCACTCATCAGGGAAGGAAGGTGTCTTTGCTGATATTCCACTTGGTAAAAATCCTTATGTGCTGTGTTTTCTTCCCCAGAGTCTCATTGTAGTCGTTCCTATCTGTTCTCTGAGTTTGCCTGCACTCTCAGGGCTCCGCCTTTTGAATGTTACAGAGGAAACAGCAGGAAAGCCTGACTTCACTGATGTGCACAGAAAAGTTAGTGAATTCACACATACACACACACACACACACACACACACACACACACACACACACACACACTGTGGTAGGGTCTGCGTTTCTTGATTATTAAAGAATAAATCAGAATTCCAAAAGATACAAAGGGCCAAAGAAAAGAATATTGAGAATCCATGCCTGTGGTCAGGTATTTCATATAAGAGCTGTTTTCAGCATCAGCCTCCATACATGACAACAAGCCACAAGCTGGTCACATTTGCATCAAGCACTAGATGGCCTTTTGTTTTTTAATGTAAAAAGAAAATGAGGGTAGGATGATCATTCACGGGGTGACGTGCTTTCCATGCATACAAGAAGACCTGTGTTCGGGTCCCCGGTACCCACAGAAAAGCCAGGGGTGGTGGCACACCTCTTATCCCAGCGATAGAGGAGGGGACAGATAGATCTCGGGCGCTTACTGGCAGCCAGTCTAGCCAATACAGTGAGCTTCTGGTTCAGTGACAGATCCTATCTCAAAAAGTAAGCAGAGATCAGATGAGGATACCCAAAGCTACGGCCAGGCAGTGGCGGCGCACGCCTGTAAATCCCAGCACTTGGGAGGCAGAGGCAGGCAGATCTCTGAGTTCAAGGCCAACCTGTTAGACACAGTGAGTTCCAGGACAGCCAGGGCTACACAGAGAAACCCTGTCTTGGAAAAAAAAATAATAACAAAAAGGTACCCGAAGTTCACCTCTGACCTCTACATACATGCACATAGGCAAAGCACACTTGCACACACAAAATGATATACCAAAAAAGGCAAAGAATACTCACATTAAAAAAAAAAAAAGTCAACATAGAAAAAGTTCAACATTCCCAGCAATCTGAAACGCATACCCTGACGTCAAGGTAGATTCCATCTCTCCGTTTGGTAACAGCCTTCTTCTTTAGAGCACATTGGCTGGTGGGGGTACAGGAATGGGCTTCACTTCACCTGGGAAGTTATCGGGGCAGCTTTTTTGAGACTCACTATCCTTTTAAAGTAATTACATTCTCTGACCCGCTCCCCCCACATCAGCTAGGGTTTATCCAACATGACAGACAGTGCTCACAGAGTGTTAGGTATACAGGCAATTACTTTAGGATTGTCCCCAACACTAAAGATTTATGGACAACTTAAAATAACCAGCAAGGGTAGAAGACTGAAGACATTTATCAGAGACTGTTTTTAGATAGGCATCTAAAGACCATGGCACTGAATGTATTATGGAAATGAGTTTTTAAATTAGAGATGTGCTAAATAAAAACGTAATATAGATGATCTGGTATATACATGCATGTATACATATTCATAAATCTGTATTTTAAGAAAGCTCAGCTCTGGGTAATGGGATAAGTGGAATATTATCTTTCTCATATGTTATTTAAGTTTTTCCCCTAAATTTTACCCAGTGAATGCATATTACTTTTATGGGTCACAGAAGGAAATGGAAGGGTGAAAACTTCAGAGAAAGGGGACAGGGCCCCTTCCATTGGCTCTGGTGGATGGGGAGCTCAAGGTGAAACCACGGGTTCTATAAAGTCATTTGCCAATATTTCTACCCACTCACCCCCAAACTAGGGTTCTCAGAGGCTGCCTGAATAATCAGATAGACAACAGATTAATTAGAATACCAGAAGTCTCTCAATTTGCTGATGAGAACATACATGGGTCCTTTGTTTACTGAGCACCTCCAGGGTATCAAGCAATTGTTCTTAACATGTGGAGAGCTGAGCAGAACAGAATCAAGTACCAGGTGTAAGGTATCTTCGAGTGCTTTTTTCTAGCTACCTGGGGCAGCTTGAGTGGCCTTCTGTGTCAGCCTGTGGAATCAAGTTGATGCGCCATGAATCAGGGCACCCTCCCCTTTGCGTTTCAAACATACGTCCACCAACTCTTCTCCAACTCATTTTCTGCCAAGGCCTTTACATTGTGTGGTTGCCATAACAACCACACTCATGGCCCACGTTCATCACAGGCTGTACTTCCCGACTCATTTCCTTCCCTGGATTTACTTAGAGGCTGCCCTCTTTTTTGCGGGGGAGGGGAAGGTCTCCAAGGAAGAGAGTATTGAGGGAGAGGTCAGGTGGTATCTCCTGGCCCCCCTACAGAATGCGCTGTCCTCCCCCAGAACCCTTCCTCCCACTGGGAGCTGATCCCACGTGTGTCCATTGCTGTCCTAGCAGCCAGCTTTCCTTAGCTTTGTTCCCAGACGAGAAGACCCGAGCTTGACCTCAGGTTTTAATATGTGCTTTGCAGATGGCTTTCAGCACCTTTGCTCTTAGATGTTTTCACTCACAGCACAGACAGTTGCACAAGACGGTCGTGTGTTTGATGTGCCTGTATGCCTGTCTGATTACTCGATCCGCAGTAGCCAGGACCAGATGAGAAGCCTGTTTGAATTACTAATAGAGACCATTCACCATTGTCAAAGAAGGGTTTCTGACGAGAGAAAATAACTCTGTGAAGTCAGTGGCAAATTTTAAAATGGTAACATACGCTCCTAGCACATTCCACTGTACAAAATTGTTTTAAAAGGGAAAAGCTCCCCCATTTTCCCCAGCCCATCCGCACCCACGACTAACTTGACTCCTTCTAAACTGTTTTCTACATGAACACACACACGCACACACACACACAGGCACACACGTTCTCTTCATCTGTGGAGTTGTGCTGGTGTTTGATAGGATTGTAGTAACGTCACTTTCTCCAGCTTGCCGAGTTCACTTGCTAATTTAACTTGTAGATCTAAGCTACGCTGAGCAGAATCCAAGCTTTATACCTTTGAGCCTCAGTTTTCCTCATCTGTGAAATAGAAATAATAATGTGCCCGTAGAATTGAATAGTCACTGCTCATCAGGAGCCTTGTGTGCCACACACTAGTAGTGTTACATTATAAATAGGACTACTTCTGACTTGTGTGTACCCAATTAGCCATCATGACCTCTCCAGAGCCTCAATTACAGGCACATGCATCACTCCTGGCTTCTTTTTATGGCTTCTGGAAGACAGAACTTGGATCCTTGTACTTGCACAGAGCCATGTTCTCAGCCCCCACCAGCCTTTGAAACCAGTACGTGGTCCCATAATTCGTAAAAATCAGTCTTCTACTGAGGGTGCCTGGATTTTACTTGCCATGAGTGACAGTTACCCTAAGGCTTCCATGCCCTCAAGTTCTTACACACAGTGCCCTGCTCTGGGCGGGGTAACCAAGTTCTAGATGTGGCTAGCACCAGGACTGCCCAGTGGAGGTGGGGCAGATGGGACCTCAGGGGTGGATGCCATGTTTATCCCTTCCCATCCCAGCAAATCGCCATCGCTCGAGAAGGTGACCTGCTGACCAAGGAGCGGCTCTGCTGTGGCCTGTCCATGTTCGAAGTCATCCTGACCCGAATTCGGAGCTACCTGCAGGACCCCATCTGGAGGGGCCCGCCACCCACCAATGGCGTCATGCACGTGGACGAGTGTGTCGAATTCCACCGGCTGTGGAGTGCCATGCAATTTGTCTACTGCATCCCTGTGGGGACCAACGAGTTCACAGCTGAGTGAGTGCACCCCCAGCTACCTGCCCTCCACTTCTCTCACCACCGGGATGCCTAGGGCTAGCCAGAAAGAACCGGGACTGAGAGGGAGGGCGGGCATGAACAGTCAGAGAAAGCGCACTGGTCGTGGTGCCAGTGCTGGGCATGGCAAAAGCAGACTGACTGTTCTTGGCCTCCAGAGGTTAAAAGGTACAAAGAGAATACGGAAGCACAAATGTCAAGGTGTCACATGGGGCAGGATGCAGACACCAGAGAATGGAGCTGGGTGAGGTGTCAGACCTGAATTCTCGGACTAGAATTGATCCCCTGGGGTGGGGTCTGTGCCGGGGAACGGAAAGTCCAGAAAGTGTGTAAATGGCTGTCAGCAGAACTGGAGCTCAAGAGTGAATGTTGAGAAAGGGCCCCATGAATGTCAGCCTTGGGAACCTCCCCCTCCGCCTCACCCCTGCCACATGCCACTCTTAGGAAAAGAGGAGACTTTGGATCTCCCAGTCCTGTCGGAGAGAAGAGGAGCAGAGTCCCCTCCTTCTTCCTGCACCCATCTAGCTTCTTGCTGAGGGTGGGAAGGCAAAAGTGACCAGCTGGTCCTTCTGGAAGCAACAGCAGTTAAGGAAAGGTGGGGAGGGACTGAGCAGGGTTTCCTGAGGAAGTAGTGCTGGAATGGGAAGAGAAAGCCCAGCAAGCTGTGGGGGCTATGTCCTTCCAACCCTGTGACAGAGACGCAGGGGACCTACCCAGGGCAGGCTGGGCTACTAACTTCTGAGCAGGGGAAAGGACATGAGGGTGACCCTACAGTCCTCCCCATGTCTCCTGGGAATCGAGGCCCACAGTAGGGCTTTACAAAAGCCCCAAGAACTCTCTGGGCCTCCTGTATGAGGAGCATCTGATCCCTATGGCCCGCCATGGAAGTCTCAAAGGCTGGTTAGAGTTGAGACAGCTCAGGGCAAGCCTGAAGGACCAGAATTCTGCTCTCCAGAAGCCTTGCTTAAAAGCCAAGGGAGGAGCCGGAGAGCTGGCTCAGTGGTTAAGAGCACTGTACTGCTATTGCCAGAGGATGAGAGTTCAGATCCCAGCACCCACTTTAGAAGGCTCACAGTTGCCTGCAAGTCCAGACCTAGGAGGACCCGTTGCCACTGGCCTCTGCCTTCTGTGGGCACCTGCACATCCATGCACAGACACATGGTTAAAAATACACATTTCAGAAAAGCCAAGTGAGGCGTTATGCACCTAGAATCCTGACATTACAGAAGCTGAGACAGGGGGATGCCTGGAAGCTCATCGCCCGGCTAGTCTCACACTGCATTGGCAAGCCAAATTTAGGGAGAGACCATTTGAGAAAATAAGGTAGAGAGTGACTGAGGATAGGACCCAGCACCAGCCTCCACACGTCTGTGCGCACACAGTCTGGTTGTGTTCTTTGTAAAGTCATCTTTTCCTCCCAGCTGGCTGTTGTTTCCATGGGCTCAACACCCCTCTGTGGTTAAAAGGACTCCTAACATAACTGAAGTCCCTGGAAACTACAAAAAAACCCACCCTCAGGACGTCCTTGTGCCTACTTTACAAAGGGAAGGTCTTCATCCAAGGGCAGGCCCGCTCAGCAGCCGTCCTGCCAGCTTTGGAGAGGCCCCTTTCTTCTCCACTTCTCACCTTTTCCTTCCCCCACCTCCAGGCAGTGCTTCGGTGACGGCTTGAACTGGGCGGGCTGCTCCATCATCGTCTTGCTGGGCCAGCAGCGGCGCTTTGACCTGTTCGACTTCTGTTACCATCTGCTGAAGGTGCAAAGGCAGGACGGGAAGGATGAAATCATTAAGAACGTGGTAAGCAGATGTGGCTGGCCTGGGAAGCGGGGCCTGGCAACAGGCTGGCTTCGGGGAGGAAAAGGGGGAAATGCTTCTGGAGGGTGATGACTATGGACAGACACTCAGAAGTTGGGGGGCAGCCTGGAAAGGGCCTGCAGGTCACATGTTGTGATAGACTGGGTCACCCTGAAAGCCAGCCTGGACTCCTGGTCTCAAATGTCCCTCCCCGGTCCCAGGCAGTCCCTGCCGGTCCTAGCCCTCATTCCCACAGCACACTGGACCGTAGAGTCATGCCAGGCACCGGGAGAGAAAGGGTGTTGTGAGAAAACAGCCCTTAAACTAGACAGCAGTGGTGGAGACGAGATCAGAAGTCTTCACAGGAGCTGGAACTTGGGCTAGGTGCAGGATGGCCGGCAGCACATGGGACGATGGCCTGGATGGATTCCAGACACAGGGAGCAACTACCACACAGCACAGAGGCATACAGACAAGTGTCTAGCACAGCGGAGATGTCCAGGGGCCAGATGAGAGGAGCCCCCCGCCCCCCCACACACACACAGGCTTTAAGAGCAGTGGTCATGGTAACTAACCATTTCCTAGTATACAGTTCAGTGTTACATAAATACCCTCATGGTGTCTTGCAACCAACCTCCACCATGTCCCAAGCATTTTTACTTTCTCCTGCTGAAGCTCTGTGTCCATTTAAGCAGCTCCCCAGTCCCTGGTAACTACCATTTCTCTGTGTCTATAAACCTATGGACTCTGTATACCTTCTGTAAAGGGGTCTGTCATGTTATCACTGGCTTATTATGTAAGACTTCTCCGTGTTACAGTGGGTCCGAATCCCATTCTTTTATGGTTAACTAGTGTTTCATCTTATGGAAAACACAATCCACTGAAGGAGCCTTGCATTGCATTCACCTTTGGTGATTGGGAATAACAACAGACTATGAACTTACGCAGCCATCTGAGTCTCCTTTCACATCTTTGGAATATACACTCAGAAGTCCAAGTACTGGGCCATCTAGTAATTCTCTTTCATTTCTTGAATATCCATAATGTTTTCCCTAATGGATGCATTTTACACTCCCACCAATAACACTCAAGAACCCAAAGTTCCAGATATTATTGGGTCTTTACATATCTGCTGTAGAGAGATATCTGTTTTTTCCCTGACTTTTTAATTGCTGCCTAAATTTTTTTCATATTTTTACTTCCTTTGTGCACAGTCATGTATGTTTAAAGAAACATACCTGCCACAGTGCCATGTGTGGAGGTCTGAGGCCAACTCACTGGAGTCAATTGTCTCCTCCCAACATGTAGGGTCTGGGAATCGAACTGAGACCCTAAGGCTTGGCAGCAAACGCTTTTATGCCTTGAGCCATCTTACTGACCCTGGCTCACAACACTTTATGTATTCAGAATAACATCATCTTACCTGTCTTACAAATCCTTCCATTCCATTGATGGCATATATCCTTTCATGCACTGAAGTCCCCATTTCACTCTGCATTGGCTGCCAAATCCAACATCATGAAGAGTTATTCCTGTGCTTTCTTCTAAGAACATCATGGTTTGACTCATACTAAAGTCTCTTATCCATTTCCAGCTTGTTCTTGTATACAGTGTATAAAATCAGGTTCAACATTCTTCTGCATGTCGGTATCCAACTTTCCCAGCATGTATTGAAAAGGTTGTCCCTGACACATCCATACTTCGGATGGTCTTGTCTTCCTGTTCAGTAGTTTGACTCAACACACAAGAGTGTGTTTCTAGCCATACAGTTCTATTTCATTGGTCTTCATGACGGTACTGTGCTATTTTGATTATGGTAGCTTTATTATAAGCTTTGAAACTTGCAAAGGTTATCAGTGACCTTTAGCATTTGGGAACCATAGAGAAGACCTTTAAAAAGGGAAATGTGACCACTGAGACACCGAGAACCTGGACTCCAGCCCCGTCCTTTATTCCTGTCCTAATCTAAGCATCCTCATCCTTCTACAGCCCCTGAAGAAGATGGCTGACCGCATCAGGAAGTACCAGATCTTGAACAATGAGGTTTTTGCCATCCTGAACAAGTACATGAAGTCCGTGGAGACAGACAGCTCCACTGTGGAGCACGTGCGCTGCTTCCAGCCCCCAATCCACCAGTCACTGGCCACCACCTGCTAGGCAGAAAGTCCCGCAGACCTCCAACCTGGAGGAGGAGGAGAAGCAGGAGAGGAAACGCCGTGGTCAGCCTGCAGCAGGTCCAGCTGACAGTGTGTGGAACTGGCCTAGAAGGAAAAGAAAACCTCCCCAACACATCTGCACCACTCCCAAGGGCTGGGCTCCCGCATGTTCTCCCGTGATATCTCCATGGTGGGTTTTCCATAGTGTAAATGAAAAACAACAAAAACACAGGACAGTGTGTGTTTTCTTTTTTCTTTTTTTTTTACCTTGACTATATCTAAGAGCTACTGTTTCCATCCTGCGGCTCCCCGCCCCATCTGTTTTGGCTTCCAAGACCACCTCCCAACATCGTAACCCCCTACCCAGTCCATGTGATCCAGCACTGTAGTCTTAGGGACTAAGAAGAGAGTGTAGCCATAGCAGAGGGATCTGCCTGACCCAATCGTGTGCCTCAGCTTACTGGCCTGTGTTCTGTGGCTTCCCCCTCCAGTTCACTGGTACATTGCTTCCTGGTCGAGATGTTAGGGATTCCATCAACAAGGTTTGACCCTTGGTGAACCAGGAAGAGATTTCGGACTGTCAAGACAATAGATGATGTTGGCCAGGACCTATTATAGTCTCCCTAAGACCCACCCTAGACCCTCCTTGCAGAACAGTCCTAGAGAGAAGAAAAGGATGATTTCAAAACCATATCACAGTGAGTGGGAGTAGGTGAAGAAAACGGCCAGGCCTACCGTGTAGAAGCAAACCTGTGGGCACAGGCCAAAACTTCAGATCCCAGAGGAGAGAGGTTAGGCTTGTCACCAGGGTGGGAAGATGAGGCACTGTGTTCCTCATGTAGATGCTCAGCACTGGACCACATGGGTAATGGACATGTCGGCCATGGCACAACACATACTATTAGCCAGCGACCCAGTTAGTGAGTTCTTAACACAGGACCTCATCCAAGAAAATCCCACATGAAGGAACATGTTAAGGGGTTACTTCGACAGATACCTACACCATCTTGAAGACAGGGAGGCAAGGAGGAAAACTGCTTGTCAACAAGCTTTCAATCCCGAGACACACCCCCACAAAAGAAGTCATCTTTGAGCAAACTGGAGTTTTCATCATGTCAGCTGCTGAAAGTCTTGGAACGTTTTATTCTTTTGCTCTCAACTTCCTGGTCCCTTCCTTTTACACATGTTCAGTGCTGGGGTAGAGATTCTCTCACAGGGGTGTTACTCACTTCTACTTTCCAGACTGACTAAACGCCCCTACAGAATCTCCACCTGTAGGAGATCTCCAAGGAGATAGCCATGTCTCCATACAGAGCTAGTCATCTGACCTGCAGAGGGAGGCCATAATCCTGAGCCCCCAAAACATAGGAAGTGGATTCTAGGTACTCTGCCAACCCAGTGAGAAAGTGAGAGGAGAGAGGACTAGCCATCCCCTCCCCCAGGAAGATGACTGACATCCATCACCATTTTTAACCACACGGAAAACAGCAGAGATGTGCATAACTAGTGCCTTGAGACGCGGCCATGTATTCCACAGGGAGGCCATGTAAATTGGAACCCTTGAGGGTCATCCACTTGAGTGTTCATTTCTGGACATGCCTCCGATGCACTAAGCCAGAATCTCTGGGAAGAGGGCCAGAAGATCTACTTTACTGCATACCACAGATTCAGAGCCCTGTTCTAGGCTCTGCGGTCTAAGCAAGAACCAGCATCGTTTGCAGTTTAGGGGCGTGGTTTGAAATGAAGCTGGTCAGTCTTCCTGTCTGGCACTGTCACTTCCTAGTCTGATCTTTTGTCTCCTTTGATAACCATAGATATATCCCAGAGGCAGAGTCCACCTTCCAGATTTTCAGTCCTGGCTGGGACGAGTACCTGACTCTCTGAGATGACCAGATTTTTACACTCTCGAGTCGGTTTGAAGCCCTCCATTCCTGCTCTGTAGGGATCTGGGCCATTCCCTTCATAAGTTGGCCGTTCTGGCAGCTCATCTTCCCACCCTGCACTCATGACCCCAAAAGTTGACCCTCTGGGAAGAGTCACATTCTCAAGAGACTTGATCCCAATAAATTGAGGTCCTCACTTTGAGGGGGGAGCTCTTATTTCCTCAGCACTTGTCTGTGGACTCTGGACAACTTCAATGTTCTTTCCTCTCTAGTGGTCCTTGTCCCCCCCACCCCCCAGCCTTTTTGATTTTTTTTTATGTATTTAAAAATCAAGAAAAAAAAAAGCTTAGATTTTAAAATGTTTTAAAAAGAATTCTGTTTCAGGAACTGTCAAATGTGTACCATATTTGTATTAAGAGTTGTTGGGGGATTTTTGTACAATGAATTTACATTTATTTATGGTGAACTTATATTTACGCTCGTGATCAAATGATGTTAAATTCTTAAATCATATTTGCTATGCAGCTGAAGATGATATTTTGATTTGTATTTGGGGGTACCTGTGTTTAGTTGATAAACATTTTCATCTCCATTAAAAACCGCTTCCAAACCAGTTAAACCAGCATCTTTGTCCTGATTTCTTGGCCACATTCCAATCCTCATTGATCTATGGAGACCACATTAAAACTGAGGTCTAGAAAAACAACCTAAAAGAAAACAGAAGAAAATTAAAATATAGCACATATATTCACTCTAAATTGAGTTATTTTCTCACCAAAGAAAGAAAACTTTAAAAAAATAAAATTATAACCTTTGTATCTTTAGAAAAATAAAACTCTTGGGGTCTAGGGATTACTCAGTGGTTAAAGCATTTGCTGAGCCAATCATGAAGACTAGAGTTTAGATCCCCAGAAACCCACATAAATGCCTGGTGGGTGTAGCTCATCATCCATAACTCTAGCTTCAGAAGGCAGAGCAGAGGACCCCCAGACCAAGGTAGCTAGTGAGACTAACCAGGTTGCTGAGCTCTGGATTTGATTGAGAGACCCTCTCTCAATAAATAAGGCTGAAGAATAATCCGGGTATGATTCTACTATCAACTCACAACCTGAATATGCATATACCACAACACGAGTGTGTCCACAAACACATGCACATCACACACAAAAGTGGAAAGAGAGAAATAACTGTTTTTCACTAGGCAGGGTAGAGGAAGTTAACTCCTGCTCTTGGGAATGATTCAGTCCCTTTGCAGCTGTAGTTTTGAGGGGAAAGACTGGAAAACTAATATTTGATGGAGCTTAATATATATAGGTACATTAATGTATATAGGTATGCTAAATCTAGCCATTCTTTTAAGCATCTGCCATCACTGTGTGGTACACACTTTACACACATTTTTACAGAGTACACGAGACCATTTGTTTTCACCTAGATACCAAGTATCAGTGCTGGAATTTGAAGAGAGCTCCAAAACCTGGACTGATCCTCAGACCAGATCCCCCAAACTAGATTTGGAAGTTTGGTCAGTGGGCCTTCAGGGGCTCTAAGGCAGTATGATTGAGCAGTTTGGTGTCAGGAGGGAGCCCAGCATGATGGTTGAGAAGTCCCCAGGCTCAAGCAGGACCAATGCCTAGAAAGTCATTGCTTTCGTCAAGAATGTATTGATTATGTAGCAGTTAGAAGGATGTGCTTAAACCAGCATCATGGACTCGGGGCCTCACAAGCATGAGGATTTTTGTTCAGGTCTCAAGCACCCACGTAAAAAGCCAAGCATGGCAGTGAGCACCTATAATCCCCGCGCTGGGGAGGTGGGAACAAGAGGCCCTCTAGGGCCTGTGGACTGGCTAATCTGACCAAACTGGAAAGCTGAAAGCTCATGGAGACTTGTTTCAAAAACTAACGTGGCTGGGCATGGTGGTGCACACCTTTGATCCCAGCACTCAGGAGGCAGAGTCGGTGGACCTCTGTGAGTTCGAGGTCAGTCTGGTCCACCCAGCAAGTTCCAGAACAGCCAGGGCTACACACTGAAACCCTGTCCCAAGACAAATAATAATAATAATAAAAAAAAAAAAACCTAAGATGGAACATGACTGAGGAAAAGAACTCATAAACTCATAATGATTTCTGGCACACACACACACGCACACGCACACGCACACGCACACGCACACGCACACACACACACACACACACACACACAGGGAGTGGGGGGAGGAGAGATCAAAACCAAAATTCTGTGAACAGAAAGAGATAAGAAAAGCATCACATAAAAAGTCAACAGTTTAATTACCAACAGATTTTTTTCATCAGAAACTGTCTGCAAGCCAGAGACAGAGGGAGAATATCTTCAATGTGCTGAAGAAAAAAAAATTACAATCCTCTAACCATAAATGTTTTACCCATGAAAATTGTTTTTCTAAAATGAGAGAGAATACACATGCTTCCAGGTAGTCTGTAGATGAAGAGTTATTACCAGCCCAGGCTTATGGAAATTGACAGAGGAATACTTTAAGTCCAAACAAAAGCCTGTGAACTCAACGTCCACAAAAGCACAAGACAATGGCAGAATATTATGGGGTACAATGGGGGTATATAAAGCAATTTCAACCCTAGTATGAGGTCTAAAATAGGGGGGAAATTATGACTCAGCTAAAGTTCTCAAGGGGTACATATTACAGAGTGATGGGAATTCTGATATCAAAACCTACAATATGGGAGTGGGAGATAAAAGCATACAGATGTAGGCAATTAACATTAGAATGTTATCAGCTTTGAATAACATAAAATGGTAACCACAAAGCAAAAATCTGTACCAGAAACAGAAGAAAAATTAAAAGAATTTGAAGCTACAAAATGCATCTAACCACAAAAGAAAGAGAAATAACATATTTATAAAAGAACCAGAAAACAGTTAACATTAACTAACAATAACTGTCTTGAATATACATGGATTAAATTCCCCAATAAAAACTCAGTGAATGAATGGAATCTTATCTTGTTTTTTTGTTTTTGAGACAAGGCCCAACTGTTTTCCTAGCTGGCCTTGAACTCGAAGAGATCTGCCTGCCTCTGTCCAGCTGGTATTAAAGGCAGGCATGCACCACCATGACCTGCCCAAGTAAATGGATTGTTAAAGGCCCAAAGACATATGCATACAAGAGACTCACTTTGTTCTCAAGGATATATAGTCACAAAGTGTGGAGAAACATGACACCTGAATGGGAACCAGAGAGATCAAGGTAGCTGTATATGACAAAAGAAATGTACACTGTTTGAAGAGATGCCTATTGACATTATACAATATGAAGGAGCTAGTCAGTCAAGACGATGTGCCAATGGCAAATATGTATTCATCCAACCTAGCAGCTATAAATACAGAAGACAAATATCAAAGGATCTGCGGGAGAAAGAGATTACAATGTGGTATTCATAAAGGTTTGCAATAACCCACTTTTAACATTGAGATCCACAAAGAAAATGAAGAAGGAAATACAGGAATTAGGCAATGCTTAAAAAACAACCAGCAAATGTCAAGTGTGCTCAGCCGAGAAAAGAAAAGCCAACACTGAATAGCAGTACAAATCCCCAAAACACATCTTTTCGAAATTCATGCAGCCTTAGACAAGCCGGAATTCATAGTGTGCCAGCGGGCTCTGAATGACTGAGTGTGAGTATGCAAATAAGGTGAAAAATACAACCAATCAAGGAAGAGCTGCCAAACCTGTAGGGGAGGGGAAGAACCCTGAGATGCTGAAAGTTACTAAAAGGTCTACGTCTCTGCAGAGGTAGTGAAACCTGTAAGAAAGTGTCAGGCTGGTCAGTTGTCAACACTACCTTGCAGGCTGGCTGCAGCTTCCCTGGCAGCGTGGGAGTAAGGGAATGGGGGTGGGGGTTCTTTCTGTCTGTTGTGCTATCTGCTCTGCAAACAGCCATTAGTCATCTCTCTGTAGCTCTTTTGGCCTCTGGAGTTGAGCCTGCTGACTGTCACAAAGCTGAGGCAGGGGGACACCTACTCCAAGCAGATACATATACGGGCATGTAGCTCAGTGGTAGGATACTTACCTTGTGTGCATGAAGCCCCCAAGGTTGAACCCCAACACTCAACCAAACCTGTAATCCTAGTCATGGAAAATGGAGGAAGGAGGCAGGAGGATCAGAATTCCAAGGTCATCCTTGACTTCTTAAAGCGTTTGAAGGAAACACCTGTCACCTCTGAACATTATCTAGATAATTTATCATGATGATCTGGGTAAGCCTACAGCCATGGCACTGGCTTCAGCCGGAAACCCAGAACTACTTTTTGCCCACAGATAGCACACAGCTCAAATTTACTAAGAGACATGGCCATAACTGTACCTCTGTATCTTTTTTTTTGAGGGGGGATTGAGGGAGGAATATAAAGACTAAGTTTTTGTGGATCTGCTCAAACATCAAACATTTAGGGAAACATCAAATTTCACTTTCAGATGCTAAATGCTATTGCTGACAAAATGTTAATGGGATTAAATTCAGACAAGATAGAAAACACACTAGAAGAATTAAGTAAAACGAAACACCCTCAACCACATAAAGAATGTGGTCTTCAGAGAAAGGAAGGTGTTGGATACTGATTATTTATTATAGCTTTCATTTACTATTGATAGCACAAAAACCAAGGGCATCTAAATGTATCAAACTTACTTTGAAGGGACTTAAACATTTTTAATATATATATTTTAGAAAACACCTTCTCCTAGGTGAAAATAAGTGTGAAATTTACAGAAAAAGTGTATATGAGGGATATTCTATATTGAAGTGAAATAATAGAATAAGACAGTGAATTAAAAATGTTTTTACAGAGCCAAGATTCACCTTCATGTCATGCTACAATATAGACTAGCCTTAGGAGCTTGTAAGCCAACACTTGCATGATTGAAAGGTGTTGAGAAAAAAAATTGAGCCCAATACTGCCTTCCAGAATAGATTATAATGTCTGTACCAGAAATAACCATTTGAAACAATAAATCAAGAAACAGCTATAATTTCGATACTTAAGAAATGCTGAAGATTACATGGTTTTTCGTGTAATGCAATAGAAATACTTTTGTCGTGTTTCTGTGGTAGCAATAGTTACATGTGACTGTGACATCGAAGTCAAAGATCACATGCATGGTTGACTTGTGAAGCTGAGCATCATTTTAAAATTCATACTGGAAATGGTCCTGTATCAGAGCAGAGTTTCTTGAAACCATTTTTTTTTTAAGTCATCCATGAGCCACCGTGACTTGAAGTTACCCATAGGCTATTTTAAAATACTAATTATGAGACTATAACAGGGCTAGAGAGATGATTCAGTGGTTAAGAGCACTTGTTATTCCTTCAACAGACCCAAGTTCAGTTCCCAGCACCCACATCAAAAGACTCACAACCTTCCCTAACTCCAGCTCCAGGGGATCTGACATCCTCTTCTGGTCTCCAGAGTCATTTCACATGCACAAATGTACATACACACACTCACACTAAGACACACGCACATACACACATACACATAATAGAATAATCTTTTTTTAAAAGCCATTACAATTGCTAAAATTAAGAAAGCAGAATACATGCATAGGAGAACATATTTTAAATCCA